GGAAACACTCCGTGAACTCCGCGCAGTGCTTGGTGCGTGAACCAAGGGTTACCTAACCTTCATTCATCGCTGTGTCAAGTTCCCCACAGATATACCAGCTCTGTCGGTATACAATGTTCATGCGATATTGACAAATGTGAATTATATTCACCAAGAATTGAAGTTATTAACAATGTGTTGCCGATACAATGAAGTCTTTCATGGCGAATACGCCACACGTGGAATGAGTCGTGTACCGACTGACCTTCGTCCAGGCTATCAATTACACGGCGATTGATGGGGTTCTGGCACGTGATTACCTTGAATCGAAATCCGATCAAAAACGTACCTAAACTTTACTGAAAACCAATCCTTCCATAATTGTTTACTGAAACTTTTCGCATTGTACCGGATTGTTAAAGGGAGTCTCGGCCAGGGCAGACTGGCAGACCCAGCATGTTTGACTCAAGTCGATGAACGCCACTATGTGTGTTCTAATTCATATTTTATTATGTATATCACCTTAGCAGATAAAGACTACCCTATGTAAAAGGGAGACGGGAAAAGACCAAACAATGCCCGCGTCCAAGATTATTGCACTTATATAGCGACGTGCATGTGAGAGAGATCAGCTGTCTTATAATAGTGAGTGAGTGAGTGAGAGAGATCAGCTGTCAGGTGAAATTGGGTTTAACGTCGCGTCCAAGATTATTGCACTTATATAGCGACGTGCATGCACGTGTGTGTGTGTGTGTGTGTGTGTGGCTGCTTGTACTAGTCCGGACTGATGCCGATTTACAGTGCTAGCTCACTGAGATACCATGCCGCAGTTTAACATGAATACCCCACTCAGACGCAGTATACTGACTCCGAGCCGACCAGTCCTTGTTTTAGCCCCTTAATGCCGAGCGCCAGACAGGGTAACAACAAGTACCATCTTTTAACGTCTTTTGGTATGACGCGGCCGGGGATCGAACCCCGGACCTTCCGCTCTCCCGGCGGATCCTCTATCACTAGACCACGGAGGCGGTCTGTACTGGTCTCGACTAATGCCGGTTTTATAGTGCTGGCTCACCGAGATACCATGCCGCAGTTAAACTTGGATATCCTCCTCAGACACATTATATTGACTACGGCCCGAACAGTCCTTGTTTTATCTCCATAATTCCGAGTTCCGGGCAGGGCAACAAGAAGTATGATGTTTTAATTTGGTATGGCGTGGCCTTTGGGATCGAACTTCCGCTCGGCAGACCAAAGTCCACTAGACCAAGGAGGCAAACCAGCAACAAAATAACTTTTTTGGGTCGACGGTGTTTGTCTCTCAGATTTCTTGTAACTTGCATCTTCTGGAATATGAAAACTAGACAAATCTTAACCAACTACAGAAAACAACATTTATAACGAACACGCTTATAACGAACTGTCGGATATAACGAACTGTTTCTTGGTGCCGTCCATTTTATATATAGATGTTGTACATATGCTTATAACGAACTACGGTTATAACGAATTAAAATTAGTGGCCCCTTTGAGTTCGTTATAACCGTAGTTTACTGTAAATTGTCTTCACATTCGACGTTTACAAAGAGACTTTGTAAGCGGTGATATTGTTATAACCACCAAATGTTGCCACAAGCGCTGAATCTCTGACCTTCTGTGTTAGCCCCCTCTGCTGGGATTACAAGGAAGAATATGTCCATGTCCAAGTTTGCCATTGAAATAGACGGTCGGGTTCACTGATTGCGGGGGCGGTCGGGTAGCCTTGTGGTTAAAGCGTTCGCTCGTCACGCCGAAGACCCGGGTTCGAATCCCCACATGGGTACAATGTGTGAAGCCCATTTCTGGTGTCCCCCGCCGTGATATTGCTGGAATATTGCAAAAAGCGGCGTAAAACCAAACTCAGTCACTCACTCCCTGATTGCGTTTCATTGCGCCCCGATAACATGGATCATTGCTCTTGCTATCAGTCACTAGTTTGCCTTGCCTTTCGGTTAGAGTGAGTGAGTATGGTTTTACGCCGTTTTTAGCAATATCCCAGCAATATCACGGCCGGGTTACACCAGAAATGGGCTTCACACATTGTACCCATGTCGGGAATCAAACCCGGGTCTTCGGCGTGACGAGCGAACGATTTAACCACTAGGCTACCCGACCGACCCTCTCTCGGTTAGAAGGTTTTAGCCGCCGTGATATAATCTGAATATTGCTGAATGTGGTGTAAAACGTTTACTCACTCTATTTCTTTATCGATAATATGCGTTACCATGGAAATATATCCTTCACGATGATGCTTGTTGGGAACCCATTTTCTTCCAAAAATATTCAAAATTAGTTTTGTCGAATATACACACACTCCTTTATAGAACTTTATAGAGTGAGTGAGTTGGGTTTAACGCCGCTTTTAACAGTATTCTAGTTATATTACAGCGTGTCAGCTAAATGTGGGAGGAAAGCCCGAAGTGATGCAGGTCTCAGACGTTTACCACTTCGGTGAAACCCACGAGCACGGGTATGGTGCTGACAAACCTAGAAACATAATCCGGGCGAACCGGGATTCGAACCCACAATCATAGGTTTCTGGCGTGCCCAAGTGACGCAACTCTTTACAGCGAATCGCGGCGCCTTAGACGACTGTTTCGTGATAGAAACAGACAAGGATAGAAAAAGACACACAAACATGCACACACATGACATGTATGATGTTTACATGTTTATTAAATCTGACGTGACTGTATGTTTTGAAATGTTTAGAAATGTTTTAGAAATGTCACGTTTTAAGTGCTTGCATGTTAACTAGTGTAAAATGGATAGCCTTGAACCAAATAATATTACCAACATTTAATGAAACACGTTTTTTGTTTGTTACGTGTTGCTCATGACCTGGTAAGCCATTAAAAATATATGTTTAGATTTTCATCCATTTATTTTAAAAAATGTGCGTCGGGCGGGATTTTAGTTTCAATATTATCTATATATATTTTTAAATAAACCTTTTAAGACAGTTGGGTACATTACCGTCGAGGCATTCACAAAAAGCGTTTACGTTGGGTAGGGTGATTTAAAAAAAAAATTAACCCGGGATTCATTTCAGCCCCAAAGCGACCCGTTTGGTTGGGCAGTATTTCATTACGTATACATACCACTAAATAGTTTTCAGTGTTTCGGCAGATCTTGGGTAGAATAGGTCTTCAGCAACCCATGCTTGCCGTAAAAGGCGACTGTGCTTGTCGTAAGAGGCAACTAACGGGATCGGGTGGTCAGGCTCGCTGACTTGGTTGATGCATGTCATCGTATCCCAATTGCGTGGATAGATGCTCATGAGGTCAATCACTGGATTGGTCTGGTCCAGACTCGATTATTTACAGACCGCCGTCATATAGCTGGAATTTTGCTGACTGCGGCGTTAAACAACAAACAAAATAAACCAAACCAGTGTTCAGGCAATTCTTAAAAACCTACGAACGTGAATGTTTTGGTCAAATCCAGTTTTCATGTGTATGTTTTCTTTTGTCCGGCAATTTAATATACCTACATCATGTCGGTCTGTAAAAATCGAATCTGAACCAGCAAAACCAATGGTTGACAGCATGAGCACTACCATGTCCTCAGTGCCGAGTTGATGACCATCAGTCAGATCGTCCATTTTAACCACTCGAGTTTAGAACTTGCGACAAACATATTTTAACTCTTTTCACCCTTAATCCCATGGGTTAGAAAATCGTGATTTCTGTTATTGACCGTTGCTATTGTTATTAACAACTAAATTTTCCCTGGCCAGACTCGATGTTTTACACGATGCCGTCATATTGCTGGAAAATTGCGGACTGTGACGTAGAGAAACAATCAGTAAGAATCTGTCACTTTCAACAACATGTTTTAATCCCCAGAGTCGCAGTTATTGCTCGGTGCAGCGTCAGTAAGTAAGTATGTTTTACGCCGCTTTTAGCAATATTCCAGCAATATCACAGCGGGGGACACCAGAATTGGGCTTCACACATTGTACCCATGTGGGGAATCGAACCCGGGTCTTCGGCGTGACGAGCGAACGCTTTAACCACTAGACTACCCGACCGCCCCTGGGGTGCGGCGTTAACTAACCAACAGACAAAGAATGCTAGGTCATCTGTGCAATGGGTCTGTCTTTCACAGCTTTATTTTGATGCGAATATAAATATTCTAAATTAGTCCGTCGCATTGTTTTGCAAAAAGTTAATAGGAGGAGGTAAAGTGGAACGAATAATTCAAATGAAATAATATTTTTATTTGGGGAGACCAAATTTAATGAAAATAAAAATAATTCCGAATTAAAGCATATTCATTATAATAATCATATTTATTTCAGGTCATGAGACAATTATACAGGTCTCGTGGTACATCGTCTGTTTGAAGGGGGTATTGTTTCTCGGTAGAATAAGCTCTCTCAACACAGAATCGGTTTACGTATAACAAAGTGCTTCTCATCCACGAGGTTGAGATCACAAAGCATGTTACATATGGTGAAAGGTTTTTCATTAACATCAAAGAACAGAAGATCGATCGCTTGTCTCACCTGTACCCCTGATCCTCTTGAAAGGGCCGCTGCCTTTTGATGAGGACAACACTACACACGAGCTACACGGCGATTTAGGCGGGATTTCATATGGTCATCGCTTGACCGCTGTGGAGGACACGTGATCTTATTGAACGGTCAACGTTGCAATGGGCCCGTCACCCGTGTTCCAACCCGTGCGCTGGTCTATATATTTTCTAAAGACTAATTATGCCCCGCGTTCAAAGAAATCTCAGAACAATCTCATCAAAGGGTAGTACCATAGTGTTTCGCTATACACTACAAAGCCGCACAATTATCACTCAACAACTTCAAACCTAATTCCTGAAGCGAAATGAGCATCGGCCGCAAAAACAGCCACGATTCGCCCTCCCCAAGAACCCGACAAGAAGCTGTCGACCCATATCGAGAACGAGTGCTAATCCTTGTCTCATTGGGTTCACAGTCTCGCTTGTACAGTGTCGACCGAACGCAGCATTGGATCGGGTGTGCGCACATCGAGGGTCTGCCCCTTAGCTGAAATATACACTCGTACCTGTCCGTCAAAGTCAACGATGCTACAGAACATATTTATTCCCATGAGACATTGTTATAAACAAGAATCGCGAACAGGTGATGGTTAAAGAAGTTTGCAAACGTTTCTCGCTTTTTGATGTAATCGTTTAAGTTAGGAAACCGGCTAATCAATTAATTAACTATTTGTTGGAGCGGGGTTTTTTCACCTTTCGACTGAACAGTCTAATACTGACGACTTGTATAGACATCTTAAATCCGTCTCATCTTCACACGAGCTTTGTGAAAGATACTCTCTCGCCCTTTACCTCGGAAGTTTGTATTTCAACAGGTGCCAGGGACAATAGGAACGGGTTCTAGGACCAGGTGCAATTAACAAGAACAGAAACTCGCGGCCTGTTTTCACCCGGATTGTTCTGCCGGATCATGCCAGGATGGGGCGACAATCCTCACTGTCCGGATTTCTAATTCTCACTTAAACGTATCACCTTCACAAGGTAAGAAGTCACTTTATAAATTTATGTACGATATTTGTTGTTATCACTTGTATATAAGCTGTCTTTGGTTTGTAACCTAAAATACAACCTTAAATTAACACCTCGGTTTCATTCAGTAGTAAGTTATAGTGTATTTTTGTAAAATTGATAAAAACTTTAATTATATCTTCCGTGTTTTTAAAAGTTAAAATATTAATTACTGATAATTTCATTCTTACTGTCTAAAGAATGCTCTTCAGGCGTATAACAAAAATAATTTAACGAAAACTGTGAAACCTTGTTGGTACGGACCCCGTTTATCAGAAACCCCGTCCTCCGGACGATGTTATATGAACTATTGATCTGTATATTCAGGGGACATCACTCCATATGTCATTAATCCGGATATTAATTGAATCCGGGCGATTTCTTTGGAACGGTACCGTCCGGATTAACAAGGTTCAGTCTGCAGTGATATTGACACCCGCGTCTCCAAAGCAGTTGTTTCTACAGCTTACATTTATGTAAGTCAAACACGTGGAGAAAAGATCTGCTCTAACAGTGCACTCAAGACGCTCGGCGTAAAATACTTGAGGATCTGTTTCATTCACGCGACTGTTTACATTTCTCGCAGGCGAGCGAGATTGCGGGAGTGTTTTGCTCGTGCAGCTCATGCGACTTTTGATTACGAACACCGCAGAGCATTTTCAGTACATGTAACCTATTAGCTGTTTAATAGACATAAAATGTTTGTCTTGGGACACAGTTATACAGTGAGTGAGTGAGTATGGTTTTACGCCGCTTTTAGCAATATTCCAGCAATATCACGGTGGGGAACACCAGAAATGGGCTTCACACATTGTACCCATGTCGGGAATCGAACCCGGGTCTTCGGCGTGACGAGCGAACGCTTTAACCACTAGGCTATCCGACCGCCCCTATTATAAAGGAAATTTACGGAATACCCAGGACGTGAGAAACTAGCGATACGATTAATACGATATGATAATCTGAACTGTAACGGTGGGGTAGCCTAGTGGTTAAAGCGTTCACTCGTCACGCCGAAGGCCCGAGTTCGAATCTCCAATACAACGTGTAAAGGTAGATTCTGGTGTTCCCCGTGGTGATATTGCTAGAATGTTGATAAAAGCGGTGTAAAACCCGATTCACTCACTTAACAGTCTTGCATTGCCCCCGTTAATCGTGTCACAGTGTGGTTTGAGTATCGTATCCAAATGCTTTGTGTTAAACAACAGAAATGAAACCGTCAATACTTTCGAGTCGCGAGGAAGTGTGGTTGCCTCGTAGTTAAAGCGTTTGCTCTGCACGACAAATACCGTAATGGGTAATGTTCATTCTTGATGCGTGGCGGTCGGGTAGCCAAGTGGTTAAAGTGTTCGCTCGTCACACCGATTCCCGACATGGGTACAATGTGTGAAGCCCATTTGTGGTGTCCCCCGCCGTGATATTGCTGGAATATTGCTAAAAGCGGCGTAAAACCAAACTCACTCATTCTTGATGCCCCAAACCCGTGAAGATGCGGGGTAGAATAAGTCTTCAGCAACCCATGCTTGTCGGAAGAGGCGACTAACGGGATCGGGTGGTCAGACTCGCTGAGTTGGTTGATGCATGTCATCGTATCCCAATTGCGTGGATTGATGCTCCTGATGTCGATCACTGGACTGTCTAGTCCAGACTCGAATATTTACAGACCGCCGTCATATAGCTGGAATATGAAATGGGGTTAAACGCCGCGTTCAAGATTATTGAACTTATATAGCGACATGCATGCGTGTGTGTGTGTGTGTGGGGGGGGGGGGTTGTTGTTGCTTGTACTAGTCCGGACTAATGCCGATTTGTAGTGCTAGCCCACTGAGATACTATGCCACAGTTTAACATGAATGCCCCACTCAGACACAGTATACTGACTCCGAGCCGACCAGTCCTTGTTTTAGCCCCTTAATGCCGAGCGCCAGGCAGAATAACAACAAGTAGCAACTTTTAACGTCTTTTGGCATGACCCGGCCGGGGATCGAACCACGGATCTTCCGCCCTACCACTAGACCACGGAGTGTATAAAGACACACTGCGTAAATACTCAATGTTGCCTTTTCTGTTTGCTTACCTGTATGTCTTTACAGGCCTTCGTTTACTAATGGAATGCAGGCATCACGTAAATATGAACTCCTCTGCAGTGCATAATACAAAATGTGGAACGTCTCGCTTATTGTAATTCAGACATTTATCGCTGTTGGGAGCTTATGCCATGGGTGACACCCTCAGGGCATGAGTCAGCTGCGTTTTAAGCGCAGTTATTTAATAAAGGTTGATTCACAAACACGCAGTAGACTTGGCCCAAGGGAGTAAAGGCATATTGAATACCCAAAGAAACTGTCAATACCCAGCGAGTGATAACATGTGAGGAAATACTCAATGGCTCGAAACCTCGTTAATCCGGACAATCCACGTTGACGTCCGGATAAACGGGGTTCCTCTGTTTACCATCAATCTTTAAGAATCCTAAAAAAAAAAACGCCTCCGTCATCTAGTGGATGGACCGTCTGCCTGGAGAGTGGGAAATCGGTGGTTCGATCCCCGGCCGCGGTACATCAAACGACGTTAAACGATGGTATTTGTTGTTACCCTGCCTGGAGCTCGGTCGTAAGGAGATTAAACAAGGCCTGGTTTGCTCGATGTCCGTATACTGCGTCTGGGAGGGGTTTCCATATGTTAAACTGCGGCATAAGTGCAACAAACTTGAACGCGACGGCAAACCCGATTTCACCTCACCGCTAAACCAAGTACATACTTTGTCAGAAAGTGTCAGTAAAAACTAAATGAAAGGACCTATCCATAACGAATATACACAATACCCATACAGAGAATCGAACTCGGGTTTGCAATGTAGAACCAAAGCTACTGTACAAAGCAGCCCCACCTTTTCAAACCTATACAAGGGGGCACGGGTGGCCCAGTTCGCCCCGATTATGTTTCTAGGTTTGTCAGCACCATACCCGTGCTCGTGGGTTTCACCGAAGTGGTAAACGTCTGAGACCTGCATCACTTCGGGCTTTCCTACCCCATTGAGTGAGTGAGTGGGTGAGTATGTTTTTACGCCGCTTTTAGCAATATGCCAGCAATATCACGGCGGGGGACACCAGAAATGGGCTTCACGTATTGTACCCATGTCGGGAATCGAACCCGGGTCTTAGGCGTGACGAGCGAACGCTTAAACCACTAGGCTACCCGACCGCCTCTCCCACATTAAGCTGACACGCCGTGATATAACTGGAATAGCGTTCAAAGCGGCGTTAAACCCAACTCACTCACTCACTCAAACCTAGACATGGCTCTGCCGATGCTAACAGTAGATGTATGCTGCTTCTAACATGTATGTTCAGTGCCCGTCGTCTCACATGCGTCATGCGAAAGTAAAAGTGCTCAACCAGAGGGCTTAACACGTGTCCAACATGCCGCGCGAATGAATACCTGGCCGGTTTCTTTGAACTTATCACGCAGTTCCGCTTGCGCTATTTTGACGCGACACTACACATCAAATTAATCACTGTAGGTGCACTGCAGCCGTGGAGTCACGCGTAAGGCGTTGTTTTAGCGTTGAAATATCGTCTCTAAAATGATTTCTCAGCTAATGTGGGGTTAAGAAATACTGCTGTTTGCTTCGCACTTTGCCAAAGACCACTTGACGGCGGCTTCTCTTTGATCTGGCTCCAAGTCCGAAGATCGTGTTTGGCGAACTATTTCGTCTGTCGGAATACTAGATGTTTTTTGATGCCGCCTCAACGCGCGGTCTGGCACCGTTATTAATCATCCATGCCCACATGCCTTTGATGTGTCGCGTGGCGGCATTCAATAATTAGAAGTAAAGGTACATAGTGTAACGTGGTGTGTCCTCAGAACAGGTACACTCTGCGTTAACGCTTAACTGCATCAATGCTTCCCGCTTGCAACCACGCCTTCAAATTACACCCCTGGCCCCTTCTTCGCCGCCCCAAGTCCACAGCTCCACACTCAATCCCCAACCCCTACCGCCTACCCCAATCGAATACCCAATTCCCACCTCGTCCCACAATCGAATCCCAGGCCGTAGTTAACTTTTTTGACGGGGGGGGGGGGGGGGGGCAAATATTTGTACAGGTATCACTTGCCCCCAATTTGTATTTTCATGATTCTAATAAAACTGTTTTCTATAAAAAAAATCCTTGGGGGATTGGGGGGGGGGGGGGGGGGGGGGAGGCAAACCCGTTCCCCACCCCAGACTACCACTCCGAATCCCCACTTCAAACCCGTTCCCCACCCCAAACTCGCACTCCGAATCCCCACTTCAAACCCGTTCCCCACCCCAAACTACCACTCCCAATCCCCAACTCCTCCTCAAATCCCCAACTCCACCACTCCCAATCCCTAACTTCACCCGTCGTCAATCCCTGTTTTTTTCTCCCACTCCTCGCGGTCAATCCCCAAACTCTTCACTCCCATCCCTACTCCACCCATCGCCGTCAATCCAAGCCCCCCCCCTCCCCCCGCCCAGCCGTCAATCAAAGCCCTTTTCTCCCACCCTTCTCCGTCACCCCCCTCCCCCTCCCCCCCACCGCCGTCAATCCCGACCCCTTTCCCCCACCCCTCGCCGTCAATGCACACCCCAATCCACCACCCCTATCCTCCCACCCCCATGGCGCCCATGCCCACCCCCATTAGCCATTACACATCCCAACACCAGTCAAGCCAAATCGTAAACCCAAATATAGAACTTTCCACATATTTCGGCCAAATAAAAATATAATCAATGAGTTAAGCGGCACATGGCTCGTCTTTCCAGATAAAGTGGACGTTTGCGCTGAGGTATTCTCTCACGAACCTCTTTCGTTCCATTTTCACACGTAACCGATATGATACCCTTTTTTAATATATGTTTTTAATTTTCTCCTTGGTCCAAATTGATTGCCACATGAAAGGCTGGGAATTGCTTTGAACGACATATCCGGGATCACTTCACCTGGAGG